TCTCCTCACTCCGGCAATCCGAGCTAAACTGCACCAAACAACAAATTAAACCACCAGAACTGCTTTTAGGTTCTGCTTTGATTAGCTTTGGTTCGCTTTTACTTTCACTTTTTTTCTCTTTCCCCCTCTCTCTCTCTCTCTCTCTGGTCTCCAGAGTCTCCTCTCTCTTTCTCTTCTCTCTCTCTCTCTCTCTCTCTCTCTCTCTCTATAGAGAGGGGCATAAAGGCGTGCCGTGCGAGGGAAGGCGCGTGAGAGCAAATTTGTAAAGACTGAAGATTCTACGCGCCTACTACGGGATCCTCCTTTAGTAAACTGGGTGCCGTTCTATTACGGCTATTTATGATTCTTATTATTATTATCATTTTTATTTTTTTTAATATTTCACGTTAATTAATTAAATTTCAGCATGCTTATTGCTATGACTTTAAACTACTAATTTTTAGATTCAAAATTTAACATAAATTTTACTTTTGACTTTTGGGTCGAACTACGAAAAAACTTTCATAAAGTTTTATGAAGTACAAAAAATTTCATAAATTTAAATTAAATAAATAAAGACTAATTTATAATTAAAAAATTAAAACCACACTAAAAACAACAATTAAATTTTTTTCTTCTAATTTTGTATTAATTATTTTGAATAAATTTACCCTTTTCTTGTTGAATTTATTAGAAAATGAAGAGTTTAAATATAAAATAAGAGAAAATTTTCAAAAAAAAATAATAATAAAGGTTAACTTCCATTTCAAATATAACTAAAATAAATAAAAGAATTTAAGCCTTATAACAATGAATATAAATAAATAAAAAAGCAAACTTTATAAAATAGTTATTCCAAACATGACCTAAGAAAGGAGAAAAAAAGCTTTATATTCTTACAACAAGTTCGTTCATAAATCATACGGTAGTTAACAATGAAAACAATAATATAGTAACAGAAAAATAAAAAAGAAAATAAAATTAATTAAAATAAAAGGAGTAATAATTTTACTGACACATTCCTGAAGCCATATGGTACACACTGGGGTTTGGTCATTGAGTGGGAGTAATACAGGCCGGCTTCCCTCCCTGTCTAGCTTTTGCCATTGAATATCTTGATTACAGTGATAATCTTTTATGCCAAAAAACTGGTGCAATTCAATGCACCGTTAAAAATTTTAAATGAGACTCAGCTGTTCAATTGCACTCTGCCAATCTTAACTGACCTTTTCAAAAGCAAATAGTTGAGGAATGAGTGGTATAGCATAGCCTTGGAAGTAACACAGATGGTGAAAGGAACCACCGCGGCATGAATTAGGGAGATAAATACTTTAAAAAAATGGAAGAGTCATGAGAAGGATGTATCGATCTTGTCATGGAGGGTTACCACCAGTTCGTGGGCGTCATCGAGAAGCTTCCACACATCAAGTTGCCCAGCCATACTGTTGCACTCCCGTAAAATCTCATCCATGCTGCTGTATTTCTCTATGATCAATTTCCTTCTCTGTAATACAGAAGCTGCAATGGCATACAGTAGCAAATCATCTGTTGGTGGGGCTCGCTGCCTTATTATACTCCACGCAGACTTGCCGATACCAGCCCTAATGGCTGCCTGATCTGCCCACATTACTTCCCAGAGGCAAAGTGTTTGTTCAAATGTCAATTCCCTCCTAAACATGACAATCACCATCCTGTAAACAAAAAAGCAATCCTCCGCCTGGAGCTTCTCCAGGTGCCTATAAAGGTGAGAGTCCTTGGATTTGATTATCTTGGAGACGATATTCAGTTGCCTTCGGATTCCCACCTCATCAAGCCTAAAATTATGGCGAGCCTTCTTCATGAGACCGACAAAGCACCAAAAAGCTTCATGATCCTCAGTGATCACAGCAATTATTGGTGAAAGTAAATCACTCATACCCTGGCAATAGCCAACCTCAGGGTCATATAGTGCATAAGCTTCAAGAATAGCAACCAGTCGGGCAGCATGAAAAATTCTACAGGGTTCCAGGTGATCATAATCCTTCAACCCAACAGACTCTGCTAAGCGATGTGCCTTGCCATCTGATACAGCAGCCTGAGATGGAGAGTATGATATCCATTCGGAATTTGAACGTACAGCATCAAGACGAATAATACGCTGCCAGGTAGCATAATCTTCAGAGGCACGTAGTCTTGATCGGACTTCAGTGCTTGCGGGAGGAGTGTTCTCTTCTGAAAGAACATCAGGACTGTTTTCCTCCCCACCCGATGAAGGGCAGGCCTGAATCACTTCAGCCTCTTCAGAGGAATCTGAGTCAGATGATTCAGTGTTTGTTGTGGAGGCATCAACATTTGTGATTCGTCTTAAACTATCATCATTCTCCAGTAACACACTTGAAGATTCATCCAAATACACAACATCTGGGCTCCTTTCCTCACTAGAAAGAGACTCCCTAGCACTAACTACCTCTTCGGAACTGGAAGTATCTGTATCTTGAATGAGATTTGTGCTAGTCCCATTATGGCTAGTTCCAACTTTCAACTTAAAACTCTCACTGCCACGTCTTAGGAGCGATTTACACTGTCTGCGGAGTTTCTCATACTCCTTTCTGACAGATTACAAGAGATATCCAATAAATGAACAGCTCAAGAGGTAAAAAAATTAGCTGAGAACCCCAAAATTGACACGTCGTGAAAAGAAAAAGATGGATTATGAAAGAGCAAAGTTGAAAATCTTGTTACCTTTTCTGAGTTCTAACAATCTCTCTTTCCTCCTTGGAGCTGTTCAACTCATACCTGTTGTCAAAAAGGAGAAAAAAGATCACACAGGATAGAGTTCGAAACCTAGTGTGAGGAACATGTTCCATTTAACAAAAATCTGAATATGTGTTCCTACAAAGATAAATAAAAACTAATTCATGTTCTCTTGCTCACTTGGGGGTGTTAAACCCACCCATAGCCTGTCTAGAGCAGGTCCAGGAGTTGGAGACTAAAAGACATGTAGAATATAATGAAATTCATAAAGCTCTTCACTAAAAGAAATCTTTCGAACATTTTCAATGAGAGAAGAAGCAGCAGCAGCAAACAACAATTGAGAATACATGGATGATTATAAATTTGGACAAAAACTCAATGCTAATACTTACACTCCTAGGAGGAATGGCCAAACCTCTGCCCTGATACTTGGATCAACACCCTGCATAAAAAATATACATATAAGCATCCAATTAAAGAAAAACCATGATAAAATATATTCCAACACAATTAATGCAATAAGAACTCACTCTACTGCGAACTTTTTTCAAGAATTTGATTCCACCATCACGAAGCTTGCCATCTGGCATAAACAATCTCCTCCACTGCTGAGGTGTAAGGGCATGTTTTCTTTTACGGCGAGACCATGGTGACTTGATGTGACCCCTGAAAGTGAAAAATGGAAATTAGACCCTTTACCACAAGAAGCCGGCTGACATGCCAAGTGAAGCGAGCAACAAACACTGTAGGAAAAAACTAATAATACCTGAAAATACAAATTTAAACATGTTAATCCATATGTAGTAATAGGAAAAGAAAAGGAAAAAAAAAAGAAAAGAAAGCCTTATTGGTGCATAAAATGAGAGAATTTAGAAATCGCTGTCGATCCTGGAGACATTCAGACTGTGACATTGAGACCGGGGATGAGAGTGCTTTCACTGAAGTACCTTGATCTCAAGGACTGAAGCATGAAAAAGAAGAAGGGCTTGGATGCTCCTAATCTTATAGAGATTCAGCACTCAGATAAGGAAGCAACTGAGTCACTTGAAGGTATGTATGATGGGGCTGAGCCGCCACAGGGGTGGAAGAGAGAAGGTCCATGTCTTCCAGATATTCTCTATTTCGTAACTGTAGGGAGGTGGATCAGCAAATAGACAAAGCAATTTGATGAAGATATTGATATGGAACTGCATGGGCTGTGATAGCAAGACTCAATATTATATAAAGGAAATATGTAGGAAGCATAGAGTGGATATTTTGTGTCTGTTTGAGACTCAACAATATGAGGATCAATTGTATTGTCTTCTGGGGGTGGGTTTTTTTTTATAAGCAACATAGGGTGCACTCAAATGGTTTAAAGAGTGTCCGTGGGTCATCATTGGCTGCAGGTCTATATCGTTTTAACTGGAGGGCAATTTGTTCACATGGAAGTTGCTGATATGAGCCACAGGGAATTCTATTTCACCTTTGTTTACTTGAGCATGGTGCTGGCGAACAGAACTCAAACTTGGAAGGATCTAAGGAGCTCGTTTAAGTCCGATGCTGGTGAAGAAAATGCAAGCGTGGAAGTAGTTGATGGAGTTAATAGACATGGTTAATAAGCCCGGCTGGCAAGTGGGGACTTCATTAATTTTGCATCAAGCATGAGAAGATTCAATCGACTTCACAGTCCTGCAAAGATGTGTCGACTTCTTTATGCATTTAAGTGATTGTGGCATGACAGACTTAAACAGCCAATTGCAAGCTGTCTGCACTTGGATCAACAATAGGAATGGCATAGGGTTACTGATGGTCCAGTTGGATATGGCTGTGGCAATACAAACTGTTTCAAAAATTTTACTCGTAGATTGGCTCCGGTGCTGCCTTAAAGTGTTTTGGATCATAACCTTTTAATGATCATTATTCAAGGACAAAGCATCACAAGTAAGGGAGTTGGGAGTTTCAAAATTCTAAGAATGTGGATGGAGCACGGTAGTTTTAAATGGGCCTTTGTGTCCATTTGGAAGAAAGGGTGCTTGTGCAATATCTTGAAAAAACTGCAGTTGAACTTTTGAATTGGAACAGAAGGATGTTTGGAAATTTGTTTCATTGCAAAAAGAGAGCATGGCTCACCTGGGCTGAATGCAGAAAGCATTGGATGAGAGAGGGTACGGAAGGTTGTTGGAGATTGAAACACAAGTGAGAACATAGTATGAGGAAATTTTGAAAAGGGAGGAGCTCTTTTGGCATAATAAATCGAGAATCCAATGGTTGCAGAATGGTGACAGACACAAAGGTTTTTACCAAGCTGCAATGACGATACGACAGCATATGAACAAGATTCACTACTTCAAAATTGGGGACTTGGGGCTGGGAGGAGATGGTGCTAAGGAGACATGGCACAGACATTTCAAGAACATGTTCATGTTCCAAGAGGTTACCAACAGCCTCCTTCTGAAGGGACATCAAAACTTGGCGAGGATGCTGTTCAAGCATAGAAAGTCTCTTCAGAGGAGATTAAGTGTTCTCTCTTCATTGTGGGAACTCTAAAAGCATCTGGAAGAGACAGATTACTAGCGGTGGTTTCCAAAAGAACTGGAAGACAATGGCTGAAAGACTGCTACTCTTTTCAGTAATGCGCTCGAGAAAAAATGAGTTCCCTTAGCGTTGATAGATTACTTGGTAATTACTGATGGAGCCACTTCCTGCACTTATACACTGGATGATAATATCAAGAGGAACTAAATTGTGATGGAATGAGATGAAAGCTTGTGATCTATTATTGGGATACACATGAAAATTTAAGACAAATATCCTTCGTAGTCGCAAAAGAAATACGTATGTAATCTTTGGAGATGTTAAGAAATTTATTCTGTAAGAAAATTCAGATAAACCTTCTAAAATAAATGAGCCAACTTCTCAGACAATTCAAAAAGAGTTCACACTTAAGGAGATAGGAATGGCAAATTTGTAAGTGTCCCTGAAAGCCAAAGATTTGCAGCAAGAGCTCGTGCTATATGAAGAAAAAAAAAAATGGAATAACAAATGAAAAAAAAAATAGAAATACAAATAGATGAATTAAATGAGCAACAAGTCCCAAAACAAGAGAAAGAAGTTGAAAGATAGATTGCAATGATGATCAAGTTTATGGTCACAACAATTCTATGATTGGTCAGCATGCCTCAAGGAAGGTTAAGGCTATTGATATCAGATCCAAAGAGAAAACTGGAAAAAGAAATTGTGAAGTTTACTAATTTTTTCTACCTTCTTGGTTTTATCAACCTCCATTGATGTCTTTGTCAGCAAATCGTTTTTCTCATAAGAGGCACAAGTCAAGGAATTTCCAACAAAATTTATGCATATTCATCAATCAAATTTCCTCATTCCTCACTATTTCAAAACTCAAGGAAGAATTTTCTTTAATCGGTGAGAACGATGCAGAGGAGAATTAGAGTATTATTTAAAGTATTAGTATTTATCTTAGACGTATGTTCCTAAATAAGTTAGTATTTTGGAACTATTTTAATTATATTCCTATTTAGTTCTGATTTAATTTCCTACTTAATTAAGAATTACGTTAATTAGTCTAGCATTAGACTTTTCCTTTTTTGTATCATAAGTTCTTTTAAAATTAGATTAACACCGTAAATATGTAAGCCTAAGGGCCAATCCTTAATAAATTCTATATTATTCTTCAATAAATAATTTTCTTGATAGATTTCAAAAATGTCTCGTTTTACTAATGAATTCTAGATTATTCATCTACTTTAAACATTGTGAAAGCACCCTTGTAAGCTTCAACAAGATCAAGCAAACCTAACCCCACTTTTGCCTTGCATCAACTAATGCTTTTAGACACATGCCTTAGGGAGGGGAAACACTGGAAAAGGGAGAGTAAATCCTTGGAAGACAGGGTTGGGGTGTTAGACAGGACTTTGAAGGTCACAGAGCAGGTGAAGAAGGGGATTAAGGTTTCTCTTGGGTTTGGTCAGTGGCTTGGGTGTCCACTATTGCACTGCAGATAGAGAGAAAGGGCAGTGATTCATGAAGATGATCGTTTACTAATGCGATGGACCTGGTAAACGAAGATGTGATGTTTGGATCCCTTAGATCAATGTCACCTCCAGTGATCATTGGTCAAATCCATGAGGTAAACTACTCTTTAGGGAGATACAGGGAGGATGAGATGGTGAACATGGCTGCTGACAATGGGCAAAGGGCAATTCTACTGTTAGTCTGCTTATAATCTTATCTGTAAGAACCACTATGTGCAAGACAGTTGGAAGTGAGTCTGGAGAATCCAGGTGCCTGGCTAAATTAGGCATTTTTTCTGGTTATGTTACCATGAAAAATCACCTATAGATGAGCTAAGAGCAAGGAGAAATTGTTCTCCATCTGCAATTTGCACTTGGTATAACAGTCAAACCAAGACGGTCATGCAAGATGCATCATGCATGCGATCAAAGACGGATGACCTCGTAAAAAAAGGTTGTGCTGGAGAATATTTCAAAAAAAAAAATTCTTTGGCATGGAGATCCATGACCGGCTCAGATGGAAGATTATGAGGAATACAGGAGGCAGGAGGGAACGAGGATGGTCATTGGTCCCAACCTCGATAATCTGAGTTTTGTGGCTTATTAGAAACAGAAGCATCTTTGGTGCGAGAAGTTTTACTGGTGATTCTGTGATGTTGCAACGCAGGTGTCTCTATGTTGATATGGAGATTGCTTTTGAGAGTTTAGCGTGCCACTTGTCTACAATTTTAGCATTGATGCTTAATAAACGGGCGATTCTTACAGTACCAGTGTGAGATCTTTTTTCTGGGCGGCGGGGAAACCAAATAAGATAAATATCAAAAAGTAACCGATCGATCTAGCATAAAGATAAAACAGTATTTCTAACGGATAAACTAAGAGGAAATTTTCTTCAATTTTCGTAAATTAGAAAAATCCAAGAGAAAATATTTGTGCAAAGTCAACTCTCTAGTGTGAAGGAGATCTATGATTGCAGGATACAAGTAATGGACTACTCTGACAACCGTACCATCCAGGAAACGAGAAAAGAAGAAAAAATAATGCAATGTGAGTGAAGCAGATGAATCATAACTGAAAATGAAGGTTAACTAACCAGCCTTGAATGCGTAACACTAATGACACTAGAATAGCCCGATAATTTGTAGAGTAAGACTAAAGATTGGGATCTGAATCGGAAACAACAAAACATTACTAAGCAGCTAAAAGAATAGAGTGTTAGGAAGGAGAGAGAAAATGGACTCACCGGTCAGAGGAAGAACGGGAAGCTGGTGAGGAAGAAATGCCAACAAACAGAACTGAACGTAAATGAATCCACGATGACGAAGACGAAGAAGAAGAGGATGACGGTGACGACGGATTTGAAGATGACGTCGAAGTTTGACTGCGTCTTAGAGCTCTCATCTACCTAATTCTTTTTTTTTGTACCTCTGTTATCTCTTTTAAACTAAATTACAGCTAACAAATGCTAGGGTTTCCTGTCACAGTGATTTGTTGATCATATCTTGATTTTCCTTTTAAACTTTCTTCTCTCCTTTTACCTAGATTTAGTGAATAAAATCGCGGCGAGCAACGCGAGACCGGCCAAGGTCGTGACGGCGATGGCTGCTCCCGACTGCTGCGCCGCCATTGTTTTCCATAAGCCGCCCCCGCGCCCGCCGATTCCGCCGCTGGACGGGTAGGCGCTTGTGGAGCTGCTGTGACTTCCGGAATCGGACATCTATCGTCGAAATTACAGAAACGCCTTAATGCCCCTCCTTCCTCCTCCGCCGAATTAGCGGTCCTTCGAATCTGTCTCTCCTCCTCCACCTCCGGCAATCAGAGCTAAACAGTACCAAACAGTAAGCGAAACCCCCAGAACTGCTTCCAGTTTCTGTTTGGATTAGCTTTGGGTCTCTTTTACTTTCACCTTTTCTTTTTCTCCCTCTCGTCAAAACAGACTCCCTTCACTCCATTACTCTCTCTCTCTCTCTCTAGTAGGGGTAAAGGCATGCCGGCATGCCGTGTGCGCGTAAGCGCGTGAAAGCACTTTTATAAAGACTGAAGAGACTCGAGTCTACGCGCCTAATAAGCTGTCTTCCTTTGTTACGGCCCCCGTGATTTCTTATCGTTATACTATTTTTAGTTTTTAATATTTCACGTTAATTAATTCCATGTTGACTTAAACAATTAATTAGTATATTTATATATTTAAAATTTTATAAAATATATATTTCCTTTACATTTTTAGGTTAAATTATTTATATATATATTTTTTTTTTTAAAAAGACTGCTGATGACTGATGCCTAATAAATTGCAAAGGAGGACCTCCAAATCTGGTAATTTCTAATTATTACCCCCAAGATTAGTGAAAATTATTTTCTGATTTTAATATTTAAAAAAAAAACGTTGAACTTTGACTTTTCTATTATGTTCGCCGAGGTCAATAATTTTTTAGAAAAAATTAATTCTTATATATTATAGATATTACGTTTTTAAATATGAAATACACCATAGTTGTTGAATGAAATTTTCGAATTAATTTCAAATACATTCATAAAAATTTATTTATTAAAAAAAAAAGTTGCAAATAATTAGAGGAAAATATCTTACTAAGTCAATTAAATTGAGAAACTAATAAGACTTGCGTGTGACAATTAACAATATTTTTTATTATAATTTAATTAATTAGCTCGTGCTTAAAAATTTAATTAATTAATTAAAAAACAAAATAAGATAAAATAAGCAACTACCAATTTAATTTTTTTTTCTGAACTACCATCAACTTGTTTCCTAAATTGAATAGAATAGGAAAAGAGCATGATTTGGTCTTAGCCTCTTATAGGATTTAATTAGGAAGCATAAAAAACCTTATACATATATATATATATATCTCATATACAATCCAGAAATATGTATATATTTATGTTTTATATATATATATATTACATAATTTATGGTCAAGAAAGTGAGGCGCAGTGATATTGGACAAAGAAAATGCAGAGAAAGTGGAGGAAAATAAAATAAAGATAAAGATAAGAGGCATGGCATTTCTTTCCTATAATTTAATTCACAGGCCCCAATACATATTATATGTATATATATGAAAAATATATATATATATATATTGTGATGATTGTTGGTCTCCTTTCCTTTTTTAAACTAGAAACTAATGTATATTAGTTTTATATTAGCTAGTAACGGAGGTTACTTAAATCTAAATTTATATATGTTATAAAATTATAATTAATTTTAATAAGTAAAAAATAATATTTAATTATTAATATTTTTTATTATCTCTGTTTTCTCTCGTAGAATTTCGAGTAATTTTTACATATCAAAATTAAAATTTATCTATAGTTTAATTCAACATAAATAATTAATATTATTTTTAAAAAATTAAATATAAATATTTTTTTCTTTTTTATACACTAATCAAGAATAGTGTATTTTTAATTTTATGCAACAATTTAAATATTAGGTAAAAAATAATGGTTAGTTTAAGACCCATTAATTAATTTACTAAAATTTTGACACATATTTTTATAGTAATAAATTTATATATATTTTTTATTTTATGAAGAATAAAATTATAAAAAAAAATGCATAGTATAATTTGATATAGAAAATAAGAATTAAGTTATAATTATAAAATTATTTTTGCTATAATTATCTTTAATTTTTTAGTATATATTATAATTTTTATTTATTCATATAATCAAAACTTATAAAAAAAAAATTTGAACAATTTTTGTCCTATGTTAATTCGTAAGGTCCCAAAAACCAGACAATGAAAATGATGAGACAAAAAACGTTTTTTATTTTCTTGTGCTGCAAAAAATCTGCCACCGATAATAATAACTACAACAATCATAAAACACCATTGGCATGGTGCATGTTATATATATGATATTTGTAAGTGACCATCATGGGAATCATCTTTTCTGTAGGGTCATGACTCATGATGACCATTATATATGTGCATACACACACATATATACGAATGTACATATATATATATATATATGTGTGTGTGTGCATGTTGCAAGCATGCTCAAGGCCAAAGCTTTAATTTCTTTAATCATGGAAAAGGATTAAAGGGAAGAAAATGGAGGGTCCAAAGAAAATAAAAGCTTTATCTGTTTTCGTGGGACAGTGACTCCACATTAAGGTGTATTTGTATCAGTGAGCCATAGGCTAATGAACTCCTGTATATACATATATATATATATATATATGTATGTATGTATGTATGTATGTATTCATCAATTTCTTTTTCATCGTTCATAATATCTTATGGCACTTTATTCTGGGTTCATGCTCTTTGGAGCTGTTGTTATTAATTTGTAAATTTCGTTTGCCATATTTTTTACCCATTTTGGTATGTAAAAAAGACTCCCTGTACATTATATATATATATATATATATATATAGAGAGAGAGAGAGAGAGAGAGAGAGAGAGAGGAGAGTTTATATGTACATATAATTAATTGCTTAGAAGATAAGATCCGAATGTCAAGGGCAATAAGAAGGTTTTCAGGCGTAGAAGAGGAGGTTCAACGCCATGAATGCGAGCAGAATTGATTAAGAAGCGCATTATCATCTTGGGCCAAGTGTCGGTTGCTTCAAACGGAAGACAGTGTTTGTTTTTTGACTTGTAGAGAAAAAGAAGAAGGAAAAAAAGAAACCAAGCCTGACTCGTTGTTGGATAGAAAAGGAAATATACCAAACGTTACCTTATCATCTTGTATTTCACAAGTAAAAATGAAGACGTAACCAAAGCACCCAACAAAAATATATACATATATATAAATAATCTTAAAAGCTCCCTATTTTGGCAAATGTGTATTATGAGCTGAAGATAATATTTGATTTATTGTATACACATATATCTATACAATATCTAAAGTATAGAATTCATGGATATCAAGGTTAAAAAAAAAAATCAATTTTTTAAAGATTTGTAATGACTAAAATCAATGTACAAGAAGAAAAATACTCCTACAAGCTTGAAGCTATAATGTAATTAGTAAGCATTAGTTTTCCAATTGTTAACTGTGGAAGGTTTTGTTGTAAAAATTGTAATGCAAGAATATATGCATGTTATATTATCTCTCTCTCTCTCTCTCTCTCTCTATATATATATATATATACATGGGCCGTTGCCTTTTGCACCACAAAAGTCCCGAATGGATCATGAAGATGGTCCAGTGTTCATCACATAAAATGAGTCCAGTAAGTTGCTGGCAGCCATGGATCCATCTGATTGAGGGAACCTACAAATTTCCTTGTCCTTAGGAATCATTTAAGAATCTACCTTATGAATCTATGATGATTTGGGGAGGAAGACAAAGAAGGTGAATAAACTTGTTAAATGAAACCATAAATAATCATATTAAGTTGTACATACATATTTTATTCAAAATCCATCAGTACTTGCATACCACTAGAACTCGCAATCCAATGGCAAACTACCTTCTCTTACAACCTTCCTAATACCTCAAAGACAAAGCCGGAAAAGCTTAAACATGAAACTCCCTACAGCTTCGAAGCTGCATCTTTATCCAGAAACCAAGCTAGTTCCCCTTCAGGGGAAACCATTTGAACAGGCAGAATATCAGGGCTTTGGCTATCGCCCAATGCTGCATGCACGGGGCCAGCTTTCCCGGCACCACATATCACAAGTGCAATATATGCAGATGAGTTAATAACGGGAAAAGTAAATGTGATTCTCTCTGGAGGTGGTTTTGGTGAGTCTTTAATGAAGGTAACCCATTTTTCGTTCTCCTTGACAAGGGGATGCCCTGGAAAGAGAGAAGCTACGTGCCCATCAGGGCCCATGCCTAGAAGCATGAGATCGAACTTTGGGAACCCAGAAATTGATGAAGTTTCAATCACCTTGTTTGTAACCAAATGTTTGAGGCAGGTCGCATAATCATCAGCTGCACCCTCCGGTGAGAGTGCATCATTTATGGCATAGACATTACCGGGTAGAATAGGTACCTGAAAGAAAAGTAAAATAAACAAACATCACAAAGGGATGTGAAATTTGTGACATGATTTAGAGGGAAAGAAAATTAATGGACTAAGGTTCAATATAAAGTAGACCAATCTAAACAGCCAGATATCTCAATCAAAGCTCTTATATACTAATGATGGATGTGAAGTTTCCAGTAGTAACTTCAAACTAACCAACCACAAAAATTTATGTTGAGGCTATATTGGAAAGATAAGGAACTTCATTCTGAAATTTATTTAAATTATGAGAGGGTGAATATTTCTATATAATCATAAAAAGTAAGCCTTCCTCAGAAAAGAGGGAAAAAAAAAAAAAAAGCATACGGACACTTCCAAATGAAATTGAGGCAACAAGTTCCACCAACTTTGATGCAACTTGAAATGTATATATCAATTCCACTTCTAATTGTCTAGAAGCTCCATTTTTATCATTTTGTGAGAGATCTACATGTTCTCATAATTAGAAAATCCTGGATTTCCAAATAACCACCATGAAAAAAAAGAACAGAAAAATTCTATTTGCCTCATGCACAGCTAGTGTGAATTCAATCACCATGCCCAGCAAAAACTAGAGCAGCCTTTTCTCTATAGTAAAAGGTATAGTATATTGCCGAGTATGTACAAGCAGTACAGCAACTTACCAAAAGCATTGATGGAATGCACGAACAGATGATTCTATCAGAAACGAATCAGATTATTTTCATTGGAAAATAAAAACTAAACAAATTGCATTCTCCATGGCTAGCAATGTAATTTATTGTTTGGTCCCCAAGAGATTGAACGAGCTATCTTGCATAATAAGATGCCATATTATTTCCATAGGAAGGCATGTGGAGGGAACTGAAATTCAATATGTTGCTCCCGTTGAGATCTATAACTGGCCTAAGGATACATTAAAACAAATCCAAAAACTTTGTGGAATTTATTTACAAACTCTACAGATGGTCCAAGAATAATAATTTATACATTCTATTGGAAATACTAAAAGAATTCTGAGTTCTGTTCATTTAATTTAGAATTCTCCATTCTAATTCTGTATAAAATTTCGAAAATTTTGATGATATTCTACTTGGATTAAGTGTGTATTTCCAAATAAATTTTAAAAAAATTCTGAACTGAGTCAAACAGAGCCGAAGTCTGTCATGGAGGTCATCATCACAAATTACAATGACAATCCAAAAAAGTTCATCTCCTGCAAACCTAATACAATAAGAACACTCCTTGTAGTATGATGCCATGAGCTTCAAGTTTCAGTAAATGATAAACTTAAAAGTCAAAGGAACCATCTTCGTTAGCCTTGTCAAGCAAAGTCTTTGTAATTTTAAGCCTAAAATTTGCACTATATTCAACAGTAAACAAGAAATCTGACCTTAGAGAGAAATCCATCGTACGCTAGTTTGTAGTTGCTGTCAACATGATCCTTAGGAACAACTCTCTCATCAACCCAGAAAACATGCCATTTCGACCAATCAATCGAGTCAATGTATGGCGGTTCCACTAATTTCCTAAAATTCCAAAACCAATTCATTAGCAAAAAAGAAAGATAAAGCTAAAGCTAAATCCAGTGGATTAAAATTTAAAACTAGCATGTCACAGGATCTGGCCAATCAGGAAGACAATTTGGAGTGATTGAATTATAGTCAAAGTCAAATGCTGAAGCTAAAATATGATCCGGCTCCAAACAGCTCAATAATCTATTGCAACGAGTTAAATTGGAGAATGACTTATACCTGAGGGACTTGATGAGGGAACCGCCGGACAAGACAACCGTAAAAGCACTTCTCTCCTTGGTGAACTTCTCGGACAAATCGGCAGTATATTTTGCCAAAGAAACCGACAGATCCTCCTCGCTATCAAACACCTCCACCTTTTTCTCTTTGCTTTTCCCCGTCGCCATCCCGGCCACCGAAGCTCTCACGCTACGATTAAACCGATCGGGATTCTGCACCAATTTGAAACCGGACGAGAAGCGAATAAGCCAGCCGGGAACTGCACTCACGCGCTGCGAGAATAGTAAGATGTTCGGCTTTTTAGAAGACAGATTTCGTGGGAACGAGTAGAGAGATGTACGGACATAAGAGTGGAGAGAGAGATGATAAGAGGCCATGCGTAGTGAGCAGAAATGGAGTAATTATAGCGGAGGAGATTGACAGCGATGCGCAGGGGGATTGGCACTTGGGCTTGTTGGTGCAGAGTGGACAAGTGATTCCGGTTTGGTTTGGTGAGGAGGTGACGGGCCGAGCGATGCTGGCCGGCGAAATGGAGAGACACGTGTGTGTGATTACTTATAAAGGGTTTTTTTTGGATTTTAGGGGAATAAAAAAATAAACAAAAAAACTTTTTTCATTATTAAATAATATAAATTTTCAATAATTTTTTACTGTGAAAATAAATAAATTGGCGCCGTAATGTTATCATATTTTTTTATAAAATTAAAATAGAAGATTCGTATTTATAAACTTTAGTTTATTTTTTCAGTTAAAGACTTTTATTATTATTATTTTATTTTACATCTAAAGTAATTTTAAAAATATTTATTTTATTTTTAGTTTTATTATCAATGAAAAAAAATTATAGATTATAATAATTTAATCTTGATCGAATTTATAACGAAAATTAAAAAAATAAATAAAAATTAAACTAATTTATATTAGGTTTGTTTTGCTCCCTATTATGAAATTTTAATTTGAATAAGTAAATTAAAATAATTTTTAAATATTTTAATATTTTTAAGAATAAAAAATTATCTTTTTATTAAAAAAATTAAGCAACTTTTATTAAACTCAAATAATTTTAAAGCATAATATGTATATATATATATATAATAACCGAATAAAATAAAATAACAAATCAAATGAATTTGTCAGTGAGACAGACTCTTGTATTATTATAATATTTAAGAGAAAATAACTGATTAAATTTGTGCATAATATAGGAAATAGTCATAATGTCTCTAAAAAACCATTATACTAAGCAAGGTTGTCAGTGTATATATTATTATTCGTGTGAACATATATGATTTTTAACTCAAAGTAACGTGTTAATTAATATCTAAACTCATAACAATGTATATATCATAATGAAGTGCTGAGTTTCTTTCTCGAAATATGTAAGTAAAAATGGGTGACTCAGTCTCTGATAATCTTTTTGAGACTTTATATTTAAACGACCTACAATTCTTTTAGAACATTATAAATTTCAATATGAATGAACGATTTATGTTACAAATTGTACATGAAACTAATAATTTAATCGTCATAACTATCATAAACGATGTCCTGACAGCCGCATTGCTAAGATCACCCAAAGCATAAGTTGTCAGTATTTACATTAAACCAACAATTTAAAGTAGCACACCAACAAAATTAGAGAAAAAAACTACTACCAATAGTAATATCCTGACTGACTTAAGATATACAAATTGAAATTCTATAATCAATATAAAAATTACTACGATATCAAATGTTGTATAATTATTCTCGTCATCATGAACAAACATATTTATAATTTTTTAAATCAATAAGACTATGGAGTTGCGTCGAAAAAATGTAACATATTATACTATATTATATATATATATATTAATGTAGAATAATATAATATATATTATAATATTATGGATAAAATATAATATTATATATATAAATATATTTTTTATTTTTAATTAGTATGGACCGAGATTGATCGGAACATACCGATTTCCTCGATCCATACCTTCATAAATTGAGAACGGGACAAAAAATAAACACCCCTAGTAAAAACCTTAATATTCTAATATAAAAGCATATAACACTATATTATGCATGTATATATATATATATATATTTATGTAGAATAATATAAGATAATATATAAAGATATATGTTATAATATTATGTATGAAATGCACATATTATATACATATATAAAAATATATTTTTTTTTTTATTAATAGTTATGGGCCGAGATTGACCGAAACGGACCGGCTTCCTCGGTCCCTACCTCCCTGAACCAAGGACCGGACGGGAAATGAACAACCCTGCTAAAAACCCTAATATTCCAATATAAAGACATGTAGTTCATGATCACAAGCCGCTTGGAAAGACAAGGGAGGCAGAGCTCAGAAAAATGCAGATCTTCGTGAAAACGCTCACCGGAAAGACCATAACCCTAGAGGTTGAATCCAGCGACACAATCGACAATGTCAAAGCGAAGATCCAGGACAAGGAAGGTGTGCTCTTGATCGAACTCTCTATTTCATTTATTTAATTTTGATTTTGATTTTGTTTCGAACCGTTGTTGAGTTCAAGTGGTGACTTGGTGGTTGATTGTGAGGATTTCGGTGTAAAAATTTCAGGAATCCCGCCGGACCAGCAGAGGCTGATATTTGCAGGGAAGCAGCTTGAAGATGGTCGTACTCTCGCCGATTACAACATTCAGAAAGGTTACTATTCAGTATCTTATGTTGTTTGGTTATCGAGAAAAAAAAGTGAAGTGAAGATAAGGAAAGTGAACGTTTCATAGTTCGATAGCCTCGCGAAAGATACTAGAAATTTAGTGTTATATATGGTTGCTGATTAGGCTGAGCGAGGTGTTAGAAAATCCAGTATCAGGTTTTCTGCGTTGCTAGACAGAATTTAGTCTATTGAAATAATTAGTAGCATGATACGTTTCACGCAATTGTTGAATGTTGGACTGAAGGTTAGCATTTCCTGTTTAAAAGCGTACTTTGTGCAGTTATTTTCCATACAATTCTTTGTGGATCTCATATTCCGTGGAGAATAATATAGGAGGATTAACAAATTGTTGGTTGATAAATACTGTCACGGGTTTTTGTTTCTAAGTTAGAGACACAGGCCATTTCATGCTGATAACGCTGTGTATATGGTGAACTTGATTTTTGATTTTAAATTCAACTATATTACATGGAGTCCCATTAAATTTACTATGTTTTCCCATCGTCAACCTTGTTGCGGACTGGAAGGAGTAATGATCTTGTTTGTGCATTTCCTCAGAATCAACTCTCCACCTGGTTCTAAGGCTTCGTGGTGGGATTATTGAGCCTTCTTTGATGGCATTGGCAAGAAAATATAACCAGGACAAGATGATCTGCCGCAAGTAAGTTTCAACATTCCAATTTATTAATTCAATTGTTTTTATAGGATTCACGTTGGTAATGATGTTACCTATCATCCACTGTTGAACAAATTTTACGAAATTTTGTAGTTAAAATGTTGATTGTAGTTCATGTATGGTCATTGGCATACTTCCTCACATCTGGATTTTAGAATTTAGCTTTTTATCGGAGTTAACTATTTCTCTAGAATTTAGATTTTAGAATTTAGCTATAAATTTGTGTTATTTAATGAGTTGAATTTTTAGAGGATTTATCCACATTATCTCGGGTTATCACGGTCAAATGTTAGTTTCATCTCATCAATCATTGTCTCTCATTATGTCATTTATTAATATTGTTCTAAGGCTCTCATTTTTCAGCATCACATAGAGACTTGAAATAAACACACTTGAACTTGGTCAAACTCAAATCTATGTTGGGATTGACTACATAATTTTGCTAACTATCATTTGATAAATTTTACTGTAGATGTTATGCACGTCTTCACCCCCGTGCTGTGAACTGTAGGAAGAAGAAGTGTGGCCACAGCAACCAGGTAAGATACATAGTTTGCACACTTCTCTGAAGGTTTTGCAAACTTGTCCAAGTATTTAGATTTGTTCCATTTTGATGCTTCATCTGATTGATGTATTGTTCTTGTAACTTTGTGTTGCAGTTGAGGCCAAAGAAGAAGATCAAGTAGACTGCTGGGTGTGGAAGCAATGCCAAAATTTTTACTAGTTTTATTGAAGTCAGTGTACTTTTCTTTTTCATTTTGAACAACCTAGTACCCGAAGAGCTATAGACATGTTTTTTGAACAAAGAAGTCTTGGATAATCTGGTTTTTGTCATGCTTTTATGTCAGGCACTTCATTTTTGTTAAGAATGCTACATCCCATTTCTCACTTTTTTCACATTTTGGATTACTGTCTGCATTTCATGCTTGTTAGCTCTGTTGGCATCATATTGATTGCCGCCATGATAATCAAAAAATATTACTAGAATATTTTTATTATACAGTTACTGAACCAGTATCAAATATTAGAAAGGGATTGTGCTCTAATATAAACGCATATGGTTAGTTTATTTTAGAATTCATGTTCATGTATAACTGGATACTGAAGAAATTACAGGCAGATAATGTGGTGTTCATGATGCTCATTCTTCGGAGTAGACAGTTCTAATTGCAGTTAACTCCCACAATCTCAATTTGCTCAGGGATTTGCCTGTTCTTAACGTCATTTTCAATTTTCCCACCATCTTCCGAGAGTGAAAATTTGTGAGGTATCACCTTGATTACATTCATCATCTGTCACAAAGTCTATAATGTTAGAAACTACTTGATCTTTTTGAAACAATGGTGGGGAGGAAGAGAAGCTAACCCACCTTGTTTGGAAAATGTTTTGGATCATCTTCCCGGGTGACTCCCGAGCTGCATATTCCAACTGAAGCAATTCATCAGAGCTGAGCCGCCAACCAAGTGCTCCCAAATTTTCCTCTGCTTGCTTTAGTGTCTTCACACCAGGTATCGGAATGGTTCCCTTGCTGATGCACCAGTTTATTGCTACCTGGCAATTGTCACAATGATTTAGTTAATAAGAGAGGAGACTGCTGTCTCCGAACGCTCACACAAAAAGATGTTACCATTTTTCAAATGAACAAAGTGTAGATGTATCTGGTCTAACAACCAATACGCCAGTAGATTATGGTTATTATATTCATATAACATAAAGTGAGAACTAGATACCTGAGGTATAGTTTTGCGCCTTTTCTGTGCTATTTCTCGAAGTGAGCTCAATAAAGGCTCCAACCCAGGAAGAATTTGCCTGAACAGGAAGGACCTGATCCAAGAGAAAATCACCATCAGATATGATGGAATGATGTTGCCATCTTTTATCAGTTGTTGAAGGAAAAAAGAACAGTACCGTGGTCCGGATGGGAGTTTAGAAGGTGTATATTTCCCGGTAAGCATTCCCAATCCCAGAGGACTATACGAAATCAATCGAATACCAAGAGCATCACATATATTCTTAATCTCCTGCTGATCTTCTCCTATGCTTAGCAAAGAAAATTGCACCTGAAATCAGGGTCTTTTTAAAGGTAAGATCAACACCACCATGTAACTGCAGCTATTGAATGTATTGTACAGATTGTTAGAAGATTGAAATCAAACTTCAACTTTTACTAGATTTGTAATCATCAGGTCCTGCCATCTGAAGCAGGGACCTGGATGGAACTCAGACAATGAGTCCTATGATAAGTAACCTTTGACGAACCCATAAGAAGAAAATACCTGAGCCGAGCATAGGGGAACTCCTCGAGCTTTGAGGTAATCGTGTATCTTCACGAGCTGTTTAGGTCCATAGTTACTAACTCCAACAGCTCGAACTAAACCCTGAACAGCAACATTCCCATGATTTCATCAACTAACAAAAATATTCTTTTACAATTTCACCTTAATATACATTTGAAAAGTTAGGGAATTACGTTATCTTGAACTTCTAGTATCTGAAAAATAGGAGTTCTTGATTAATGCAGGAATACTATTGTCGCCATTTTTGTTTAATAAAATACGAAATTGGATGACTGACTGATTTTAAACCGAAAAGGAATAATAGGAAATCTTTCAATAACATAAGTTGATCTTTCTCGGTAGATATCCAATGGTAAAACCAAATAAAAAACGGATTAGTATATTGATTTATACTTAAAAAAATCTAAAAAGAGAATTTTTAGGATTGAAACTGACAAATCTCATATCTTTATAATAGCAGAAAAGCTCTATTGTTTTGAAAGTAAGAATTCTAGTAACCTTTTGGTACATTGCCACTAAACCATCCCAAAGAGCTAATTCTTGTGGAGGAGCATAATTTGCAGTAGACCAATGAAGCTGCCCTATTCCAATTTGTTCAATCTGAAGCCGGTCCAGAGAGGCCCTAAAATAAAACCGCCCTTCAAATTTGGATTATCAGATTTAGAAGCAGTACTAGAAAGACAGACATTCATGGGGTGAATATGGGTAAAGAAGATCTTCATATATTTATATCTATATATATAATCTTGGTCGGAGAAGTCAGACCTGCATGCTTTCACAAACTGTCCTGGCGTCAAACGCCATGGATATGCTGCAAACTTTGTAGCAATTACAATGTCTTCTCGTATCCGCCGCCTTCCTGAAAAAAAAAAACAGAAGTCAATTTTGAGCTTAAGGGTATGTTTGGATGGAGGTGAGAAAATGGATTACCCTGAAATTCTCTGATGAACTTTCCGAGAAGTTTTTCGCTCTGCCCGTTAAGCCTCCCCGTGCCGTAAGAATCAGCTGTGTCGAACAAATTGATTCCGTTCTCCACAGCCAAAATAAAAATCTGTTGAAGCTCAGTGTCCATGGATTCCTGGTACCCCCATAGGAGCTGGTTGCCCCACGCCCAGGTTCCAAACCCCATTGGAGACACACTCAGCGGACCCATCTTGACCTGCTCGTTACCATATAAGAATCACCAATATTTCAGTAAATATATAAGCTTCGTTGTAATTGGGTATATATGTATGTATATGTATGTGTATGTGTATATGTATATACCTTTTGCCATGGCCAAAACGCAGGGAGCTTGAGCGCCTTCAAGGGTGAAGATGGAAGTGAGATTTGATTCGAAGGGCTGCAACATCTTATGCGCGCCATGGGAGTTAAGAATGAGAACTTCATAGCCATCATTTTCTCTTGGTTTCGGAAGCGGGCGTAGAAGAACTTGAAGGGAAGATTCTGTGGCTAAAATTAGATATGGGAGATCGAAGGGGCAAAAAATAAAATAAAAATTGACAGCTGTGGGATTTGAACCCACGCCCTTTCGGACCAGAGCCTAAATCTGGCGCCTTAGACCACTCGGCCAAACTGTCTTGTTGTTAGGGGGAACATTCATTAAATTTTTGTTTTAAAATTTTAAGCTAGTAATATCAAATATTAATTGTTAGTGGAGATCGCTGGTGGGTTATCTTCTTCTTTATTCTTTTGTAAAAAGGGTAAAACCTAGTTGCAAAATTTGACAAGAGCCTGGAATATAATACAGGCTTAAAAGTATTATATAATAATCAACCATAACTTAGTTTAATTGGTGGTGTATTCTTTTCTTTATAAAAATTTATAAGTTTGAGTTAAATTGTACTTTCAAATATATTTTATTTAAATTGTATTATAATTATCGTACATATATCATTTAATTGATAAATATATATATTTTTTATTAAAATAGTATGTCACATGTAAAAATAGTTAAAAAAAAAAACTCTCTTATCTAAATGACAAAAGAATTAAATTCTGGTCCTAAATATTTCACGCTCAAAAAAATCCATCGTAATGTATTACATCATAACATTTAATATTCGTACAAAATAACCCAAAATACAAATTGATAATTTAAATACGAATGTACATCAATGACAATACAATCAATGATATCACAATCTACCAACAAAAATATTAAGTAACATAAAAATCGAGCCCAAATCAGAGAGGTAGAAGTACCAACTATCATGGTAAATGATGGTCGATCGGTAATTATAAGTTTCTAAACTACTTTTTCTCTGTAATTTCAAGAACTCTGCCACCCTCCCTCTCCACTTTTATCATTTATGTCCAGAGGACCTGTTCTTGCTCCTTGATTTTTTCCTCTTTGATCTTGCACTAACCACTTCCTTTTCTTCATGACGGTGAAACAACTGACTCTTCACAAATTTTTCTGTCATATGCTGGTTTGAAATTTAATTTGAAGCCCACAAGTTTGTACTCTGCATTTACTTCAAATGCTCCATTAACATCCTTTATATTTGCTGCTTCGTCTTCCTTGTCCTTTTTGTTTCAGAGTCAGAGCAAACCTAGAGAACAAACGACTGAAAATCCATCACTCAAGCTCTATATTTATAGCGTTATCAAGTTTTCAAGTCCAGAAATCTAGCCAGTTTGAGCTGCTACATGACTGATCAAACAAAGTCTCTGAATCAAACCCATGATCCCATTTCTCATTTGATCCCAATGAACCATCTGTTTGTTCTTCAATTTTCTGAACTCTAAATCTTTCTTCTTCACCCCGCAGTTCAGGTTCTGTGCTATATTCATGGCTTGAAGACATAATTAACCCACAAGGATCACCTGATTTTTCCTGCAATAAACTCTGGTTTCCTTCTGGGTCACACTTGATTTTTGGCTCTCCGCAAGTATAATCCATTTTGCTTCCTCCCAAATCCTCCGTTCCAGAATTTACATCCTGACTTCTGGTTCTCAATTCACTTAGTTTCCGAAGCTGTTTCGAGAAGAAAAACGTTTACGACTTCTATTTTCTGGCTCAAGACACATTACAAGAATAGAGTTAAAAAGAAATAAGTGATGATATTCATATATACCTGTACGAGCAAGGCTTGTTTCTCCTTCTCCAAGGACTCAAACTGTGAAGCTAAGCTTTCATAACTACCTTTAAGTGCTCTGTACTCGTGCTCAAGTTGCTTAGATTTCCACCTAGCTCTCTTGTTCTGAAACCATATAGCAACTTGCCGAGGCTGCAGCCCAAGCTCTCCGGCTACCTGCAACTTCTTCCTCGGCTCCAGCCTCGTCTCCGACTCGAAAATGGTCTCCAATAACCTGATCTGCTCATCACTGAACCTCCTCTTGTTCTTCATCCTATTCTTCTTTTTCCTTTGCTGACTGCAACAGTTTGTTTCTGCTGCTTCTGGGTTTTCTTTCTCGTGACGATCATCATCATCACTTCCCTCCATCACCTTTTATGTGTATGTACTTGGGTTTATGATCTCTGTGGGTGTTGTGTTTTTGAAGCTTTTAGCAATGGCGGTTTTCCGGTACAAGTGTAATTGAGAAGAATATATAGTGGGCCATGAAGAGGAAAGTATTTCACATGGTTGCTTATATGGGCGAGAGTTTGGAGTGAAGGGAATGGAGTTGGATATCGTGTAGCTTTTTTCTTCTTGTTCCTTGTGGATATCTCTAAATGTCTGCTTCTGTCTAATTAATTTTCTTTCTTTCTTTTTTTTTTTTTGACTTTCATAATTTCTAATGATAGAATTATTGCTTTCATTTTTCTTATGGGCGTTTTCAAATGGTCTACACATTCCTTTACATGTGTGTGCATATTATATATATACATATATATATATATTATGAATAAAAAAGTTATTAAGAATTTTTAATTCCCCTAATCAAAAATTTTTTATCAAATCATATTAGTACGGTAACTTTCAACTTAAATAATTTTAATTTTAATCAATCTGTAGTTAATCGTATAATTAATATTTAAACTGATATTATTAACCGTGCTAACTTTAGTACGAAAGTTATGCGCGAACGTAACGCTCACAACCTCCCTCTAAACCTAACTAACAACTGTTTGAAATTCTATTTATAAATGGATAAAATTTTTATTTTAACAGAGACCGACTCATTTTTAAAATAATTAAATAAAAGAGCAATAATAATTTTTTTTTTGTTCTATTCTATAATTTTTCATTAAAAATGATAACATAAATTTACAATAGTAAATTTAAAAAATAAATAAAGTAATTTTGAATTATATATTAACTACGTAAATTTATTACAACCTATCAAACAATTAGTATATAATATATTTAGTTTAATATAATATATAATAAACTTACATAAGTAAAACTTCTAATTTGACTCTCCAATATATATATATATATATATATATATATATAAATCATTAAACTAAAATCCATTAAGTTAACTCTACTCAAGTCGGACTAAAAGAACAACCAAAGTCCTTTTTGTACTTGCAAATAGATGCATGCATTTCATTTTTGAATATGATGTCCAATCTTTCGAGCACCTAATATATAAACATGTATACATCTATGTATCTATATATTTTAATTTTGTTTAAACAATGCTAAAAATGAAGAAAATCATGACATTAAATCAAAATATTAGAAACATAAATAAATTAAGTTAAAATATAAAATTATAACCTTTATAATTAATTGTTTATTTTATTATAAAATTTATATGTATGATTAAATTATTATGTTTAAAAAATCAAATTATTTTATTAAATACAAAAAAAATATTATAATATAAAAAATAATAAGTCAAGTTGTTATAGATGAAACAAATTAAGTTAAAATATAAAATTTTACTTTTTATAATTAATTATCTATTTTATATTCTACTTGTAATATATATATATATATATATATATTAATAAAACAGTCATTATTAACATACAAAATTCAAATTTTGAATATCTAATGTAATTTAAAAATTGGTTTGGTTAAAAAGAAATGGGTAATTCTTTGATTTTTAGTTGAGAGTAGTGAGTATGGTAATATATACATATACATACATACATATGTGTGTGTGTGTGTGATGATGATGAAGAAAAGGAATTAGATGAGGATGATGAACAGTTTCGCCTAATACAAACAAAATGAGAAAAAAAGCATGAGTAATATCTATGATATTTTTGGCTTTGGACACTGAAATGATTACTAATGTCAAGGAAAATATGAAAAAGAAAGAAGATATAATAAGCTTTTTTTGTATTTATAGCTAATCATCCTAGGTGTTTTTTTGGGCCTACCATCATCTCTTTGCTGCTTTGGTCTCTACCACATTTATATGATGCCCACATGACATTTCCTTTGTCATTATCAATGGGGATGTAATCGTTTTTGTAGTAACTGGATGTAAAAAAAAAAAAAATATATGTATGTATATATGTGTGTATAGTAACAATTATAGACGGAAAACAGTGTTGTTTGGAGAAAAGAAGGAGGAAACGGCGTCGTTTAGAGAAGAGGAGGAGGAAACAGCGTCGTTTAGAGAAGAGGAGGAGCAAACAGCGTCGTTTGGAGAAGAGGAGGAGGAAACGGTATCGTTTGGAGGAAACGGTGTCGTTTGGTGAAGAGGATGAGGAAATGGCGTTGTTTGGAGAAGAGGAGGAGGAAACGACGTCGTTTAGAGAAGAGGGAGTGGACGGTTGGGATGAGGTGAGATGGACGGGCAGGATGAAAGGCAGTTGGGGTATAAATTGTAACACCCCAATTATTATTATTATTATTATTATTATTTTATTTTAATTTTTGGGAAAAATGGGTAAAAATTAGGTTCTATGGGTGTTTTTGAAAAGAAAATTAAAAACCGGAGGTCAAAACATAATTTAGAAAAATTACGTCACGTCAGCAGCCCCGGCCAACTAGGACACCCCGCGTGGCAGAGAAGCTGACGCAGGAGGCCACACGGAAGGGAGCCACATGGGCAATTCGTTCCCGCGCGCACGAACGGCCCAGATCAAAAGTGCGTACAGACGGCCTGGATTGCATGCACACAGACGGCCCAGATTGAATTGCACACGAACGACCCAGATTGCATCGCGATGAACGACTCAGATTCATTTCTTTTTTAATTACGATCGGACGACCTAAATTAAATCGCAATGGACGGCTCATATTAAAAGCGGAAGGTTATAAATAATCTCATCCACACCCAAACCCTAACCCTAGCCGCCAGAGCTCTTGCCAGAGAAGACAGCTCAGCCGTTGGGGAACCAACCGCCGTCGCACCGGAGCACTTTCCAGCCGCCAAACGAGGTAAAAATTCTCTCATTGGCTCAGAATTCGATTCTAAACCCACTTGTGACCAAATCAGAGCCAAAACACCAAATCGCGACTCGAGCCGGAGGAGTCGTTGCACCGGAGAGCCCCGCTGCCGGTAAGTTTCGATTTTTTGTATTTTTTCGGCCCACCGAAGGCCCTAGGGGTGTTTTCTCATAGGAACCAATATAAGTTTGGCCGAATTCGGTCGAAAACGGCCGGAAACAGCCAACCTGAGGCGGATCGCGGCGGTGCCGTTGCTGGAGCACAACGGAGCCACCGTGCTAGAATTCTAAAATTGGCCGAATAGGCCTTGGGTCTGATTTTGAGTTATTTGGAACATGTGTAGGTACCGTAAGCGCGTTTACGAGAAAAAAAATTCAGGGGATCCAGGGACTGCCGTAGGCGTAGTAAAAATCTAGTTTTCGGCTTTGTTTAAAGTATTCATGTTTATGTGAGAAATAGAAAACTAAGAAAAAAATAGAAAATGTATGTGAATTGATCAATGAATAAGTTGACAGTCTCACTGGATATCCTGGAAGATGGTGAATGGACCGGATCCATAGGGAATCCTACCGGGAACGTTATCTCATACCGGATGGGGTATGGAGACTTTAAATATTTTGGCGTTCATACCAGACGGGGTATTGAGGTTTATTGTTTGGTGCCCATACCGGATGGGGTATGGGGACGGCCTTGGAAATTAAGTTTGTTGAGGGAATGATTCACGTGTAGCGGGGACCCCTATGGGTCCCTATGGATACTAGTAGGCTGATGAAAAAGGGGTCAATTATTGTTTGATTATTGAAATATAAAATTATGACATGTACTATGTTACAGATTATGTATGAACTTATGATATCTATGACGTTATTGTTTTCATAGGTCGTTTTTATAAATTCCACTGAGGTAAGTGGACGGTAAATGGTTTGATTATTGATAAATAAATTTACTTGAAACTTGTGCTCCATTGGTTATTTTTAGTTTTCTACCAACTTTTACTTCTGTGACAGTGATATAGTGTGATGTCTTTACTGAGTTAGTGTAGCTCATTCCTTACTTAACCGTTTTAGATCAGAAGGACTTGGTTCCCGAGTCCGATTTAAAAGAAGACGGCGAGTAGTGACCTAGATGTTTATTAGTTTCTCTTATAGTCTTTTATTTCCAGTATTTTTTTTAGATGATTTATTTTCGGTATTGTTAGTACGTTTAAGTTATTGTGTAAATGATATTAACCAGAACCTTTTATTTCGCTTCCGCACTTATATTCTTTATATACTTTTTTTTTTTAAATATTCAGGACCGTTACATAAATAGGAAA